GGCCCGGCCCCGGCCCCGGCCCCTCTCGGGGCTGAGCTCGTCGTCCGCCGTCTTTGGAAACCATTTGGCGTCCTCTGGGGTTCCCACATCTGGAGTTCTTCTTTCGCACTTCTGGCAAGAGCTGCTTGGTTTCGTGTTTTGCTGGGTAGCTTATTTCTATTTTTTTTTAATCGACGTTCAGGAAGGCAGTGTCCTTCTCCTGGAGCTCCCGCTCGGGACTGCCCTGCCCAGCACCTCCTGGGGTACCCTCCTCCTTGCACTCCTTGTGTCTTTCCCTTTTCTGTCTCTTCCTTTAAGATTTGAGGGCTGTGGGCTCCTTGCGGGCTGTTTCCCTTGAGCTGCTCTTGCTGAGATTTCCCTTGAGCCGCCAGCAGCTGTGGCCTGCCACCCCTCTTCCCTCGGTGCTGCTGGTTCAGAAGAGTGATGTGGAGATGCCCTCACCTCCTCCCCTGCAGCGAGTACAGCCTGGTGGGGTGTGGACGACCAGGCACTGACTTCTTTGAGGAGGTCCATATCCTGCTGTTCAAACTGGAGCTATCACGAATGTGGGGTCTACCTCCATTTTTCAGTCTTGGGCAAGTTTCTTGGGTCCTTCATCAATCTGAGAAGCCAGGACCTTTCATGCCTTGCCTCTGCTTCCTGAGTGTCTGCAGCGGCAGCTTTCTGAGAACCCCATGAAGACGACTGCCAGAAGAGTGCCCCCACTTTCTGTGCCCTGCACACCTTCTCCCAGACCTCAACATCTAAGAAAAGACTGGGGATTTGTCTGAATGTGGCTTGACTTCCTTGCACTAATCCCTGTCACAGCAGCTCCATCACCTAGGGTCAGGACTCCAAACACTGCTCCTGCCCCTCATTCCTGGATCTGGTCCCCTGGGCCTGCCCTTTGTCCCCAGACCCTGCTAACAGTGCACACAGGGCCATCCCTTGCCCAATCGTGTGTTTGCTGTGACCTGTGGTCCCTGAAGACTGAGGTGGTCTTGCACAGACCCGCTGCCACGTCCCCTTTTGCACTCTCCAAGGTGCTGTCCTGGCCCCTGACCAGGAGGGCAGGGACTCTGGTCCCAGGCCAATGGTTCCTCCATATGAGTCCACATTGGGCCTGGTTTGGGTTTTAGGAGCCCTTCATCCCTTTTAGGAAACAAACTTGTTTTGACCCAGCCTGGACTCGATTACAGCAGTTTGAAGAGAATTGGAGACAGTGTATTGACCATCTAGTTTCAAATCTCTCTGCCTCTCGGTCTTCTCCTTCAGGGCCTCCTTGATGTGTTTTGCTCCATTTTGCCTTGAGGGTGGGGGGAGTACAACTGTTGCATTCAGTTCTGTAGAAAAGGAAATCCACCACCCAGGAAGGTGAATAACTATTCATGAGCTCCGGGTGACACCAGTAGCTGTAGTAGTAGCCTTTCTGGTGGGGGAGAGTGATAAGGTTGTGTTTCTCAATCTTCAATTCCCCAAATGTCTCACACAACAGGGGTTCAGGATTGCATCATTCATTAGTTGGGCACAGTTTGGGTAGGCCCAAATCTTTTTCAGCATCTACCTAAGAGGTTGTGCACTAAAAGCACATGGTGGGAGCGTGTGTGCTCATTATCTGCAGAGGAACATTATTCCTTCCTCTTGCTCCATCTCATCTCTCTGCATTAAAGCCCCTGTGCTGGATGTGGAAACACTGAGCCATACTTTCATGCTAGCTGGATGCTGCCCTGTCTCCACCCCTGAGCATGCTAGCTGTGGATGGAGGAGAGAACTCGTGTCCCTAACTGCAGACCACAGGTGCTTTTATGACATTACTGCTTTGAGCAGTCTTTTTGAGGCAGGCTTTAGAGAAGCTGTGTCAATCCCAAACTATGCAGTAAAGAGGCAGACAGAGTACAGTTCCCTGCCAGCCCAAGCCATATCAGAGCTTTGAACCTGAGATTTGACACCTTGAAAGACAGGAGCATGACTATTGGAAACAACTTTGGTGTTCCTTGATGTGTGTAACAATAATGGAGCTGGAGAGTGTATGTGGAACAAGACGTGACTCTCTTCTGACAATAAGCTCCTTCAGAAACTTCTAGCTAGATGGGAATTAAACCAAGCAAAGCGCAACCTCTTGATGCAAAGGGTGACCTCATGCAATGTGGTGGAAGAACTCCAACTTCCATCCTTCCTTATCAGTGCTGGCCGCCTAAGGTTTTGTAAGAATTAGGCACAGCATATGGTGCCTGTGGATCTGAGCACATTACAGAATTTACTAAACTCGGAGAGGGACCTTGCAAGGACTAGTTTGCACCACTCCCCTCCTGTTTAGGCTGGACACATCTTACTTGATTCTTGTTCTGCCCTGCTATCCCCATCTTTCCATTTCCCCAGCAGTTGAGTAGTTCTAGGAGAGGGAATATCATATTCTTATTTCACAATATGACTTATAAAATGTTCATATGAAGAGAAAACAATTGTTAAATAACCCTCCTGCCTCCTGAATTGAATGTGAGGGGTTAGAAGGGTTACAGAGACCTGTTCAAAGAGTCATAAGCCATGCTGACCTAACCCTGGCTGTGATAGCTGCAGTGAGGATAAACAAGGTGAGAACAAGCCTTCTTCATCACCTCTTTGACAGGCAAGGGTAAATGGAAGCCAGGGGTCACTAGAATGGGATTTAGTTTTTTCTCATTATTTAGAGTCAAACACACCAGTAACAGGGTCGCAATATAAATGTTGGGAGACTTTTGCGCTTTCCTGCAAGGGAAGGGTCATCATTGTAAGAGATCAACTTCTAGGCAGGTGAAGGATGGAAGGGGTGGTAGTTTGTGTCAGCATATTAAAGTCAATGACTTGAGCTTTCTGTGGGAGAAAAGGAGACTTGAGCCGAGGAGGCTCATTGGATAGGTGGATCCAAGGGGTTTGGACCCTTTTTTGGGGTTGCTCGTGCTGCCTGATGGTTGTGTGGCTGTCGTGTTGGCTGATGCTGATCCAAGCGTCTGGTGAAAATGAAAGCTGAGGTTTGGCCATCTCCCTTTTTTCTTTCCCTTTTGCTGTAGACATTGTTCGCAGCGACATTGCCCTGGATAAGCAGAAAGGCTGTAAGATCGCCCAGCATCCTGACATAATGTTGGAGCTACAGAGGGAAAAGGCAGCTCAGATGCACTTGGTTTTGTTAAAGGAGCAGTTTTCAAACACATACAGCAACCTCACATTAACAGGTAAGGCTGCAAGACCAGCTCTGGAGCCAGGAGCTGGGGCTAGTTCTTGCTAACTCACAGGTGTGTTAAAACCCTCGGGTGCTTCACCTCTGTATGAATCAGCATCTCTCTGGCTGCCTCTGTTTCCTACCAAGATTACTGGGTGCTGGGAGGGAAAGGACCTGAAGGAACTCGTGGTGGACTCATAAGGCCTCTGTGGCTGGCACCTACGCAGACACTCCAGATTTGGTGCCCCTGGACAGAACGTTTTCTGCAGTCTGACCTAAGCAGAATACCACAGCACGTGAAGTGCTGGAGAAATCTTCCTGCTAACTGTTCACGTCGATGGGGCTGCAGCAATTACTAAATTTGGAGTCCTTTAAGCTGCAGCTGATTTTTTTTTCTTTCCAGAGCATGCACTTTGTGTGAACCCAGTAAATATTAAAGAGCAAATATAAAGGGATAATGGCCCAGACAGAGATGAGAGGATACTCTTTTTCTGGCAACTGTTTGTATTATCCAGGGAACAGAATCTCAAAGGATGGAGGAGACTGCCACATTTTGGATACACATTTAATGGTGCTTGTAAAGGACTGATGTCTTCAGGCAGTGAGTGGGCAGAAGGATGGGATCCCAGCAGCCAGCAGTGTCCTTTCATAGCTGTTCTCCTTATCACTACAGCTGGATGAGCCACAGACGATGGGAAGGAGGAAGAGACTAATAAATCAAACAAGATCCCCTTCTCCTCTTGCTGGGTCCCTTTCCTGTGAAAGGCAGGGAGGCATCCGATTTTTATGGGAGGGAGGGCCCTGTGCTCTGCCTGGGGAGGAGATGGCAAGCCCCATGGTGGCCCTCCCCTGCTGCTGGGCTGGAAGAGGCAAGCAGGTCCTGTGCAACCTCCCCCCCTCTGCTGCCATCCCTAATTCAATGTCCAGCCCCTGCCTTTAACCCAGCACAGGTCTACATCCTCGCCAGGGACAGCAATGCAGCAGTGAGCTCTGGCTCTCCTGGGGACATCGGCTGTGCTGGACCTCTCGGGGACCCCACAGAGGTGGGATGGCAATACTAGGGCTGGCAGAGGGCTCAGCCCCGGGCGCCGGAGGGCACTGGGGCCACGAGAGTGGCTGAATCGCATAATTCCTGAAAGCCCAGCATTTAAATGGGATCTTCAGAGCCGTTTCTCATTCTCTGTAACGTAATCCACTTGGCTGTTTATTCCCAGTACAACTGCTGGAATCAACATTGTCAGCTTTTCCCCTGACAACTTGCTTACTTTCCACTAAACAAACTTCCCTCGAGAAGAGAAGCTGCTCTCCCCTATCCTCCTTCCCTCGCTGCTTCAAAAGCTCTCTGGCATTGCTCACATTTTTTACAGAACCTGCAGAGCAGAGGTGCTACCTGGTTATCAGCTCAGCTCTTAGCCTTTCCAAGTGTGTTTACAGGACGGTGCAGAAGGTTTTAGCTCTACATCACCAGGGGGGAGAGAGAGCAATTTCATTGTAATATTACCCAAAGAACTATTTTAATGTCCTTTAACTCCCTTTGAATGTGAGCAGAGCAACTTCATAATTGTTTAATCTTAAAAGTTTAATCTTTTATTTCATAAGCATAGTCTGAGAACATAGACTCCAGACAGCTAAGCATAATATTTAACTGGAACTCTACTAACTTGTGTAAATATTTCCCTTCTCCGTGATGGATCTGGTGTTTGGGGTGGGCAGAGGGGGTTGTACATCTGTTGCAGAAGGGCATTCCTTACCTTCAAGATTCAATCAGCCAGAGTTTGCTTGAGGACTTATTTTTGTTCTGCACAGTGTTTTTGTGCAATGCTGTAGGGAGTCCCCAGATCAGCAGCAAGGTACATGGGGCGAGGTTCAGGAGCAAGGATCCAGACCTGGTTTGGGGAGGGATAGTGAAGGACTGAGGTCGCAGGGATGGAGTATCCAGGGGATCCCTGAGAACAGGGTTTTGTCCTTGGAGGTCTGTATCCAGGAGTTACTTGGCCTCGTGCAGTGCATGTACTGTGGATGACCCTCAGTACTCAGTGTCCAACCTAGACTGGAGGAATAATTAACCCCACGCCTCTGAGAGGGGCTCCTACGACTGCTAGTTCCTGCATCACTTTAATTATACCAAAGAAATGTAAATGGAGTATCTTGCCCAAAGTCAGGTGAGAATAAAGGTGCTTTACAATGAGATAGCTACTCTAGGAGAGCTTGGGAGTAGGAATACCACCGTGAGGCATCTTTATTCCCACGCTACTACCACTACCACCGTAGTGGTTTGGATAAAAAGTCCCCTTCTCTTCCTCCTCCTCCCAGATGACATAGTTATATGAGCAACTTGAAAAGACTATAGATCAGGCCTCCCGCGCTGTCTGCAAGTGTGGGCAAGTGATATTGCCATCAAACTTCCATGCAGTATCCTCATGGCTTTAAGAATGAAAGCTCTTAGAGTGCAGGGAGTGTGATTCTGCAGTCCCCGTGGCATCAATGTAAATCGAGGGGCTTTTTCAAATCTATTAACCAGTTGCATGTGGTTCCCAGTGTGCTCCTTATCCCGGCGATCTGGCAGGGTTGTGGTTTTGCACTGGGATTTAAGCTGCTCCCAGCAGCAGGTATCTCCAAGGTAAGAGGGTGTCTTAAAATGAAATGTGTTTTTTTGTGCTAAGACACAACTGAGACTGAGTGAAACCAGGCAGTCTTTCTGGCTCTCGTTCCTCCAGGAACACATGTTAGACTCTGGCTTAGGCCACTTCAGTTTCTCTAGACAAGTATGAGCTTTCCTCGGCTCCTGTCTGCAGGCTTTCTCTTGCATCTTGCATTTGCTTTCTGTACGTGATCTTTCTAGGCTTACCGAGCCTGCCTCCCTGAGATGAGTGATAGTCTTTGATCTATGACAGTACTATTTAAATGCTGTATATTTGAAGCTCATTAATCTTTGCGGCTTCCCCCTTGGTGCTCAGAGATAGGTATCTCATTTCACAGATCAACATCTCTGATGCTCTTGGGTGAGCCCATGGTAGAGCAGGGGGAGAGCGCACAGCATCGCCTGCTCTCCTGTGGGAACCAGCTCTCCCAGTTCAGCCTGCGGTAGGATAGGGGAGGAGGAGGACTAGAAACACTTCTCTGCTCCTTCCCAGCCGGGTTAGGTGGAGCAAGTAGCGATTCTTTTATGGTTTTTTTTCAGGAATAGAAGTTGCACTTGTCACAGCAGGCTCCCCTCCTTTGCAGTCCTCAGGAGAAATGTCCAGGTAACAGTAAGGTGATTTTGGAGCCCTGGAGCGGAGGGGTGAATGGACAGCATTGGGCTGGCAGCGGGTGAGGTGTGAGGAACTGCTTGGGGCAGTGGAGACACAACATGCATGCAGGTTTTAAGGAGTGAGATTGTGGAGAGTGGGGCAGCAGCAGGCAGAGCTTTGACAGATTAAATCTGAAACCCTCCATCTGCGGTGCCCATTTGGGCTGGGTTCATGTACTGCATTTGTACTTTAAGAGATTGGATATCTGCAGGTTTCTGCACTGTTATTAAGTAAAGCCCGTTAAGCCCAATAGACAAGGGAATTGCTCAGGTCAATAGACATATGTGAAAAACTGTCCCCTCCTGTATTAACGTGAAGTGTTAAGTGTAGCTGAGCTTCCCAAGACACAAGGACGAATCATAAATTTGCTTTCAGGAGTTCCCATCCTGAGGAAACAAATTAGTGTCCCACTTCTCATTCTGAAGAGTGGAAAAACGTCTCTTCTTTCTGCTCTACCTTCTGCTTGAAGCTACAATGCAGATTACTTCACTGCATCAAGAGACTGGTGATGACAGCTCCCCAGCCTCTCCTACCACACCACATCTGCACTGAAAAGCCAGCGAGGAGACTGCAGGGCGTGTGGTGGGAGCCCCCCACCCTGTCACATCATGCAACATAGCCTCTAAAAGCAGCGGTTAAGGGAGGAGACCCTCCCCACAGTACATAATGCTCCCAGTTGATCCTCCGTGGGCCCACCCTGCTGAGGGTGTTAGCAGAGAGTCTCTTCCAGCTGCACTGAGAGAGACCTGGGGGATTAAAATCAGGTGGGAGCTGCTAGGAGCAGAGTTGAGAGCTGCCGAAGAGTGCATTTCACTGTCTGTGTCCAACATTGCAATCAGGTGTTTTACATTGGCAACCCATTACCCCGTTAAGGTCATTAGACAGACTCTGCCATAACAGCAGTTGTGAGCTCTTTGTAAGGCTTTCCTTGCAAAAGGCCGCTTCTGGAGATGTTAGCAACTAGGCAGAGACCCTCTTCATCTGGAGTAAGTGGTATGGGCGTGTGAGGTGGTGGTGATGGAAGGCACATACCAGCTTTTCCTAAGTAGGGATGGATAATGGTGGCATGAGTGGGAGCAAAGCAGATCATGTGGGAGCAGAAGAATGTGTGTGGCTACTGCAGAGCAATCATGTGTGGCACAGAGCAAGAATAAGGGCAGGGTGTCTGTGTGAAGAGCTTGCAAGAGAGAAGCTGCCCCACAGAAGTATGTTTTTCTCCTCTCCCCTGAAGACAGCGAGAGCTGCAGTCGTGCTCGTTCCTTGGCAGGGAATCACACGGCTCAGGTTGAGCACCTGTGACACTTGTCTTTCCTGCACTTGTGAACCTCCCCTGG